CCTAGTCTGCGTTTCGACTGGGCTCTGCGTGCTAGGAGAAACAAAAAAGGCGGGCAGAACCTCGTGAGTTTGGGAGTATTGCGAGCGCTATGGGCATTGTTTCAACCGGGGCGGCAGCCGCACGTTCGTTCACCCGCGTGGCAGTGGTTTCAGGGCCAGGCCGTCTCACCGCCCGCTTCCACGCCGCGCCGGTACAGTTATCCGCGGCGCGGAGGCGGCAGCGGACCCGGCCCGCCCACTCTTTACTCGAAAAAAGGCCCCTCCGCTTTTAGCTCTGAGAGTCGAAGTGAATATGAAGTATTCGAATGAGGAATTTTCTATTATGCTTGGTTTGAGCGGGTATTCGTCAGAGAGCGAAGGTTTGGTAGTCCTTTAACTATCTGGGACCATAGGATTTGGCTTGCATGATAGGAATGCCCACGTGGTTTTGAAACGTATTTTAGCGAATGCTTTATTACCGTAGGATAGTTTCGTTCGTTTTTTTAATGTAGTAGTCGGCTCTTTTTTATTTATTTCAAATCAAATCGTGGTAACAAGCTCCTCACGTTTGAATTTATTTGTGGATATGCATTGTATTCATTGATTTTTCCAGAAGTAAATTGTTACTAGCTGTCGGATAGGAACCGTTAATCTTTCCAGAGTGTTGCATTTTTTTTTAACCAGCCAGCCTTCCGTTTGTACGACGGCCCTGTAACCGCCCCTGCCAGCGCCTTCGTCGCTATTTCCGGTGCGCGGCAAGGCCGCGCCTCTCTCGAGTAATTAGCTTCATTAGCGGCGATGCGCGTCGCCCGCCCGGGTTCCGGGCAGGCGGAAGAACGGAAAGAGCCCCGGCTCCGCCGTCACCTCCGCCGTCGCCTCCGTGGCTCGTCGAAGCGCGCGCGAAATTTCGCAGGACGACCGAGGGACGTCGTTACTCTTCGAACGGCGGTTTCGCAAAGGCTCTCCCCCGCCACCTCTACACTCCTCTCCCCCCTCGGCAGCCCTGTTATTCATCCCAACATTAGGTTCGTGGATCTTGGCTTGTAGTGTTTTTTGTTTTGATCTGTTGTTCTCCGTACGTAACATTTTAAATTAATTAATGCATTTGTGATGACAGATTCTTAGTACAGGTTCTTTGGAAGGGATAACCCAAACGATACCCATGAAGTCTAGATTTATTCTCTGCAACTGTATTTTTTGCATTCAAAATTGTTAACAAATCGCAACTCAATTCAATGATCATAAATTCATTCAATGAAATCACATAATGGCCTGAGTATTGTTTCTTCGTATTTAAAATTGAACACTTGATAATGAACAAGTTAGTGATGAAAGCCATTTAGCTGGCAGTATCAAATGTGTGTGATTACTTTCCAGTAGTATGATCTTTATTGACTTTGCATGTGTTGCTTATTCGTGAGGAGGAGATTTCTCCTGTATTTTGGAGCTCGTCTTTTTCTGACCATCCTTTGTCCTCCCCTTTTCTTGGCAGATAAGGGTGGTTTGTCTTTGTCTTCCACTTTCTGAGGGACTTCAGGTGAGGTGGTGCATGATATGAGTTATTGTAAATAAGATGATGTTCAGAGGTGATGCATAATGGTATGAGAAATCAACTAAGCACATTCACTTGAAGAGAACATTCATGTCTTACATAGTACTCAAACTCGCTGCCTTTCATTTCTAGTTGAATGTTTTATTGACAAAAAAGTTCACAATACTCTGTGATAATGCTACCGATCCATGGGTTTGTGATCGAGCAAACAACTGAAGAAAAAAGAGTTACTACCAAATTTTTTGACGTCGAGATTTGAGAACTTAATTATGAAATATTAATCTTTAGAAATTTACAATGTTGTATTAGACAACTTCTTTCTGTAGATTTTTATTTCTGTCTGTTTAAATGCATATGTAAATAATTTAATGCAAAAATTCAAAGGTCTTTGCATTTGGTATCAATTATTTTTCATGACGCGACCCTGGGTTCGAATTCCGGTCGGTCAAGATTATAGTGTGCGTTTTCCTTGCAATGTCCCAGATGTTGCTGTGTGACGATGAGAAACCCCACTTCTCAGGTTGATAAGACTAGAATACGGCGTAGGGATATCTTCAGGCTAGCCACAAGTACCCCTTAAAGGCCCACTCACAATGCAAACGTAAACATAAGCATAACGCGTAGACGTCAACATTAGGGAGTTTTAGTGCCACGCGTAAGGTAGCGGGGTTATGCACTAACAGTCACGTGACGGACCTTGAAGTCATAACGTCTTACCTCAGGCCTATATACCTTCATAAATAGTGCACGCTTGCGGGAGTCTCTCATAGAGGAGAGATACAGAGAGGAGAGATCTCTGCTCTATAGAGTTTCTACGGTCACCTTACGTGAGGGAAAATGGCCGCCTACAAATATGAAAAGTTGGATTTTTCCAACTCTGGTAAACCGATTCTCGTATATGAGGCAGTTACAATTATTCCTTACCAACTGCTCAACGCTGGCAAGAAGTAACATGACATGTTGGAGAGGTGTCAGGAAAGAAATTCACGAAAAAGGAATTCAAATCATATCATTGGGATAGGTTATGTCTTATGCTCGTAACGAACGCTGTTTTAAGGTATTTCATATGTTTTCAAGAAAAAAAGATTCCAAATTCCTGACTGCATACTCATCACGGAGGGCCACGAAATGTAAAACTCCAAGCACAATGTATATTTGTTATTCTGTTGACTCGTAACGTGTTTTAAATGTCTCACTACTACTGTACAGTCTTTGAAATACTCGTATTATGCAATTTCTCTGTTCAACGCTTGAAATGCTTCCCTTATTATAATGCATAACGCAGTGTCGCGATTGCTAAAACTCTTCTGAAAGTTGTTCATTACAACCGTATAAAGGAGTTGGTCACATGATCAATAGACTTTAAGGATATCTCCATACGCCTTGCGCTAAAACTCCCTATTAACATAAGTGATAGACTGAAGTATTCACAATGTATAACATAAACGTAAGCAAAATAAAGTGTTTCTATGGCTGTGAGGCATTCTACTGTACTATTGGTTGGATGTGAGAATCGAATTTGAGGTTTGGACTCTGTCCATGGCCAATATGGCGTCTATCGACTTCGCTCCTCTTTCGATTCTCGATTTTGAGTTGGTGTCGATTTTGATTTGTACTGTGATTGCTTCATTTCTTAAGTCTAACTTAAGGATAAGCACAGAAGCTTGCAAGCTTTTAAGTTAACTACCCATGGTGTGGGTGCTAGTAGTCCACAGACAACTGACAGACGGATGTTTTGGGAGGGAAAATCACACACACACACACACACACACACTCACACACGTTCACACACACTCACACACGTTCACACACGTTCACACACACTCACACACGTTCACACACACTCACACACGTTCACACACACTCACACACGTTCACACACTCACACACGTTCACACACTCACACACGTTCACACACTCACACACGTTCACACACATTCACACACGTTCACACACATTCACACACGTTCACACACGTTCACACACATTCACACACATTCACACACATACACACACATACACACACATACACACAGGTATCAAGGGATCCTAAATAGTGTATTTCCGTCGAAATTTCGAAATCGATTTTCCGCAGCAATTCATAACTTTCCCTATATTACATATATTACTCCATATATACATAGGTATATGGGGAAGTAAAGAGCACTCTACATGTGAGAAATATAATCTGTATGCTGTGCAGATTTTTTCTTGAAGTTCAGAATCCCTTCCCCATCCTTTTAGTTGAATGATGAATAAAAGTTCAGATAAAACATGGCTAAAACATTTGAAAACTAGAAATTTTCGATTCCGAGTAACATGTATTTTCATTAAAAACTGCAGATTTGATATTATGTATTACTTACAAAATAGCATTCTACACCTCAGGCTCCACTCCTACCACTAGGCCATGCCTTCCCTGAAAATTTTGAAAAGGATCCTGTCGTCTTAAGTAATATATATTTGGTTTCCTTGAATATGTTCAATTCCTGATTTATCTGCTTTTAACCTGACAATTAAGGGAATTGTATTAAGACATTTGGGAGAAGAGGCTCTCCAAGCCATCTGGTGACTCTGTAAAATGATTCACCATAAAATAAATTGAATTTCTTAATTGTATCATTATCACTGTTCTTTCATTCTCCTAGTGCCTTGTGATATATTCTATTTATTTACTACTAGTTGACCCGGCAATGCTTTTCTATTGCAGTGTATTACACATAACATTCGGCTTGTCACGTGATTGTTAATCACGTTTTAGACCTATGCTACTCTCTGCAAAAATTCTTATAGATGAATGACTTTCTTGCAAGTAATGGGTTTGTTCTATGCCCTAGTTTGGACATGGTTGCCAAGTATCCTATTGTCAAAATGTTCTCTCTGAAATTTGGGCTTGCATTTGGTATGTCCCAATCTTGAAGAAATTTGATTTACTGGTCTTGGTTCAAATAATAATGCAGACCGATATTTTGCTGGGGCAGATTACTTGTATAGAGTGAACAATCGCTTAATCCTTGATTGTGCAGCTGATTGCCTAGAGTTCAGGGGTGCTTGAGTCATAAACGAATAAATCATAATCAATAACCCCCTTATATCCAATTTAATTCCAATCCCTCTTTAAACACTCCCATTACTAATAAGAACAAAGTGTGAATATTTCAACAAAATTGGTTTTGTAGTTTTTGTGTCTATGTGTGGCACACATACACACATTCCCTTTTATTTATATGAAGATACTTATAAAAAAATGTGTCTAAAAGATAATGCACTCATTTGTAATTATTCACAAGTGTGAGAGTGAGATGTATACACGCTGAGATGAAATCAGAATATATTAGTAATTCAGACTCAGTCATTGTAAATTTAATTTGTTGTTTAGTTTGTTTGATATGCTTATTTTCAGTTGTGTTGTTTTTGTTGTTGTTTTATAAATCTGTGTTTAATTAATTGTTTTTATTCTTACTTGCAGACATTCCTGACATTCCTGAAAATATTAAAAACTTGCGCTCATTGCAAGTTGCAGACTTCAGCAGCAATCCAATACCAAGGTAGGCTATTTCTGTCATTAAGACCATGATACAAAGAAATGTAATTTACTTTATTATATAAAATTGTCTAAATTTGGTTTTAAGTCTTGTCAATAATTGCAACTTAACTATTACTTTATTCCTATAACATTAGTCATGTTATCATTGTGACATCATGATGGCTTCAAAATGACATCAAACTTGGACCAAATTTTACAGGAGAGCATTTATAATGTTTGGAGGTGTTTAATAAAAATAGGTAGAACTGCAGATGAATCTGTCATTTTTACAGGTCTGATTTGAGGTCTGAAGTTTTTTTTACAGGGGTGATTTGTAATATAATAATCTAAAACAAATTTCTCACGCTGTTGATCTCGCATTCGGGAGTTCAAACATGTCAGAACATAATTTTTTGTCAAATAATCACGTATAATTTCACCATTCTGATGCCGTGATATATGAACATATACATTGATAAAATCATGTATTTATAATGAAGAAAAGTAGGGGTTATAGAATCTGGTGAAGTAGTAGTCACTCGTGTATTGTGAAGGAACATACATGATCAATATTCACTGTTCAATACTCTCGTATTGAACAAAGTAGCAGGGGGAAGGTGCAACTGTGATACATAAATTAAACAATTTAGGCATGACACTACCAATGAAGATAGTAGCATAAAAAAATATAGTATCGTAAAAACTACAACTTTTGGATTATCATGTTTTATGACCAAGCCCTTTGATTAGTATTCCAAAAATCATTGTTTATTTTGATATTACATTTAAAACAAAAGGTTGCACACAAATTGGCAGCTAAATATGTGTGAAACCACTGTGAGTGTATTCTTACAGTACTTTTTATTTATGAAAGAAGTAGAGCTGAATTGTGTTGTACTCTCACAGTAGCCATTGTGTTAATAAAATTTAGTAACAAAGAACATTATTATTATTATTATTATTATTATTATTATTATTATTATTATTATTATTATTATTATTATTTTATCATCCTTAAGATACTTTAAACAGTTGGTAGAACTCGTTGGAGAAGATGATTTTTCATTCTTAGAATAAAATACTTTATCTGGAGGTTAAAGATTTCTCATAAGTTCTCAATAAGTAACGTAAATTTGTAATCTATTCAAACAATGCCTCTTGAGTTTCAAATACTTAGTACAAAATTAGTATTATTTGACATTGGGTTTTGTTTTGGTGATTATCCTTAAACTTCAACTACAATTTTCATAGAGAATGTGTTTTATAATAAAGTCATTAGATTAAAATGGAGTGTTCTGTTTTGTATTGTTATTTTTCCAATTACAGGTTACCTCCAGGATTTGTGCAGCTACGGAACCTGACAGTTCTAGGATTGAATGATATGTCTCTTACTAGTCTTCCACCAGACTTCGGAAGGTAGGTTTGGGAGTGTTCTATTATTTTGCCCATCTAAAATCTAAATTTAAATAAATCTAAAGTAATAGCACTATGAGAAATTATGCTATATCTTGTTTGGTTTGCATATTGTGCTATAAATTGAATAAGTGATTACTAAAGTAATTTACCCAGCTTACAAAGTGCCTGTGAATTAAATTCTTCTCATATCATAAGTGTGTGATGATCATGCTATCCTTATTGCAGTCTCGTGAGTCTCCAGTCACTGGAACTACGTGAGAACTTGTTGAAGTCTCTGCCAGAGTCTCTTTCTCAACTTACTAAGCTAGAGCGTTTAGATCTTGGTGATAATGAAATAGAGGAACTGGTTAGTATTATATTGCAGACTAAAATGTCAGTAATCTAGTGTGTCAGTAATCGTAGGGTATAACGCTGAAAATTAATAAATTTTCTTCTTGCTGCTTACAGCCGCACCATATTGGCAAATTGCCATCTCTTCTGGAGCTGTGGCTGGATCATAATCAACTACAACATTTGCCACCTGTGAGTATTGATCAGTTTCCAAGAAGAGAATGAGTTAGTTTTTTCTCAATTTATTCAAAATTATGTTCAAGGATGATACAAAAAAATACAATGATAAGATTGTGTGTGTGTGGGGGGGGTGCACACACGCGTGCACACTCCCCCCCCCCTTTTTTTTTTTTTCCCTTTTGCTCCTCCTCTCTCTGATTCTCCATCTTATAACTTCTTCTTTTCTCTCCTCCCACTTCCCCCGAATACCTAAAAAGATAAACATTCTATTTCAAATCCACCATACTTTCTAAGTTAAACAAAAGCGATTTCATTAAAAATTGGATGAAATTTAATATAGATATTGAAATAATTTTTCAAATTTTATCACATGAAACAATTTGGAATAATTTTAACATACATTTCTAATTTCAAGTTCATATAATAATTATTGTGACAAAACTGTTGCTAGGTCATTAATTTTCATTCCCACCACACATACTCTTTCCCTTTCCCTCTCTCTTTCTCTCTCCTCTCCCAGCATTATATTGAATGGCCTCTTATTACTGTATTTATTTTTGAGTATTAGGATGTTCTTCCTCTCTCTCTCTCTCTCTCCCTCTCTCCCTCTCTCCCTCTCTCCCTCTCTCCCTCTCTCCCTCTCTACTTCTACCCCCTCTCTCTCTCCCTTCGACCCCTCTCATCCTCTCCCTGTCACCCCTCCCTCCCTCTCTCTCCCTCCCTCGCTCTCCTCCTCTCTCCGTCTCCTCCCTCCTCTCCCTCCCTCTCTCCCCCCTCGCCTCTCTCCCTCCTCTCGTCTCTCCCCCTCCGCCTCTCTCTCCTCTCCTCTCTCTCTCCTCTCCTCTCTCTCTCCTCTCCTCTCCTCCCTCTCTCCTCTCTTAAATATTATTTTGATTTCTCAAAAGGGAATCTTTGAATGTATTTTGGTTAATGCAATGCCTTTCCTAATATCAGGAAATTGGGCAACTGCGTCAACTGACATGTCTGGATGTATCAGAGAACAGACTGGAAGACCTTCCAGAACAGTTAGGTGGTTTGGAAAGTCTCACTGATCTCCATCTCTCTCAGAACATGATTGAGGCTCTTCCAGATGGTTTGGGGCGATTGTCTCGTCTTACAATACTGAAAGTGGATCAGAATAGACTTGCCTCCCTCAATCCTAATATTGGAAAGTAAGTTTCTTGTTGTTAACCTTAATTTTTTCAATTACAATTATTTATAAAAGAATCAACTCAACTTATAATTTATGTTTTAGGTGTGAAAGTCTCCAAGAATTGATATTGACAGAAAACTTTCTCATGGAATTACCTGTTTCACTGGGTAGTCTTGTGCATTTAACAAATCTAAATGTGGACAGAAATAGTCTGCAACGATTACCAGCAGAAATTGGTCGCTTATCTCAGTTAGGTGTGCTTTCACTCAGGGAAAATAGGTTAACTTATTTACCTCCAGAAGTGGGCAATTGTCGTGAACTTCATGTACTAGATGTATCAGGCAATAGGTAAGCATTACATGTATATCTGAATGTAACCAACAAATTAAATATTTCTCATAAGCTTTCCACACATTTCTGTTATTTTAAAATTAAAAATTTGTTTTGCATAAAAAAAAAATTACTGGAATGTTTAGGCTGCAGTACCTGCCATTCTCATTGACCAACCTCAATCTAAAAGCTGTTTGGTTATCAGAAAACCAGGCCCAACCCATGTTAAATTTCCAAACGGATGTAGATGAACAGACTGGTGAACAGGTTCTTACATGTTTCTTGTTGCCTCAGTTGGAATATCATCCTGACACACTTCCAGGTATGGAATATACTGTACATCAACTTGAGAAATAATTCTTTAATTCTAATAATTTGCAGATTGTGGGATTCTTTTTTATGCAAAATATCAATTTTGTGTAAAGATAAAATAAGTGCCTTAAAACTGTCAAAATGAACAAATTTTAAAGATAGTGTGCCATCTGCTGCTTGAATGTACTACTACTTCAACTCTTGAGAAGTTTGTTTTTGACCAACTATTTTGATTGGTTACATCTGAATATATGTTATTTCATTTTAAATTGCCACACACATAGTATCTTTTCTGAAATTAACATTGGTCTCTTGACATGCTCTTTAAATGTGACTATTATTGAAGTGAATTCCTATGTTTTATTTCAACTAGGCTCACTTTGAAGATAAACATTCTTCAAAAACTCTGGAAAATAATAAAGAAAATTACCCCCTTTTATTTATTTATTTATTTTTTTAAATTTTCTCCTTGTTATTGATATTTAATGAATATATTTTTAAAGACATGCACTTGATATTCATAATAATCAAAACACAATTGTATGCTGTATTTACTTATCATGAAATTGACTGTATTTGAATGGCATGAACTGTGTGCTTTAAAAATTAGACTGGACCTTTCCTTGTAGAATTTGCTTACAGTGTTGATACAAAATTGTATGGGCTGTGGTAACAGTTACAAAATGAATAACCTTGCCTGTCAACTGAGCCATGATAATTGAGAACTTCTGTTGCTTATATCGCAATTGACTATGATTAATTTCATCAAATTAAACTATCAACTAAACTAATAAAAATGTAGCAAGATATTCCATTATTTTTTGTGAACTTTTAGAAGCATCTATAATCTTAATGAACCTTATTTCGCATCTTTTCATCAGAATTCAACTTCAAAACAGCACATGATATTTTTTACTCCACAATTTGCTCATTTGGTTTTACCTTGGGCATTATCAACATTGATTTGGCTCTAGTCACAAATATTTGTAACAAATCAGGTACCTGAAATTGATCATTTTAAAATATTGATGAAATTAACAACACTAATTGTTGCGAAAGAAGTTCTGTTTGGGACAGTGTTGTATCTTTTTGTTTTATAGTCTAGGCATTACTGCTGTTTTTTGTACTCTTGATCTTCATCATTGCTTCTCTGTAAAAGTATTAGTTCATATTTAAAAGTGTATTAAATTAAAAAAACATCTTTAACATGTCAAGTTGAATGTGATAAATATGTAAAAAGATAAAAGCCAATCACAGCTCAGGAAGAAACTTAATCATTATTTTTTTATTTCGGGGAAATTAAATATTTCGAAACAGTTGACTTCATAGTAATATTACTAGCAGAGAACAATGTAAAAAAATCTTGATTCTTTTCTCTTGAGTTCAGGATTTGTGAAGACAGTGAGAAAACATATATTTCTTAACAAAATGTACAAATAGAAGTAGGAGGATTCTATTTATGCTTTCTGGTTTTTACAAAAGTTTAGAAGGATGATGTGCATTGTTTCAAAATGTCATTTTCATAAGATTTTTTTGTAGAAATGTTTCACATGGTTTGAACTGGATATATTTAATGTGTTTCTTTTGGTTACTTACTCATAATATCATTACAGGGTTTGATCCTTGGGATATCCACATCTTCATTGCAGTCTCTTGATAGTAGTAAAGCGGTGTCTGATTTTTTTAATAAGTTTCCTTTTTGTTGTTGCATTATATAATTTTCAGTTTGCAATAGTAATTGTTCAGTTTGCAATTTACATTTAAGAATAATATGCATGAATATTTCTTTTTTAACATGTATCAAGAAGTGTTAATCATCACTTTTCTTCTGTATTCTCATTCTTTGTCTTCCGTATTTGTAATTTAATTTTTATTTTTATTGTTTAATAAACATTAAGTGCATCTGAATTAATTATATAATAGAATACTTAAAATTTATTTCAAGTTTATTACAGATGCATGCTGCTGGAGGACTGTAGGACAATTAATTTCGATTTGTGTGTTACTATTCCTTGTTTCCCAGTAATTACCTTCTTAATTTGTCCTTAATGAAATGTATACACTTCTTATACTATACAGTTATCCTGTGCTTTGTATATAAGCATGTTTTCATCTTGCCTGTTTTATCGGGATTTGAGCTTCTGATTTCTGTTTGTTTTTCCTCTTATTTTCTTGTATTTTCTTCATTTCTTTCTTTCTTTCTTTCTTTCTTTCTTTCATTTCTTCTTTCTTTCTTTCTTTCATTTCTTCTTTTGATTTTTCTTTCTTTCATTTTTTCTTTCATTCTTTCTACCTTCCTTTCTGTTGTTCTTTCTTTCGACCATTCTTTCTTTCTTTTGTTCTTTCTGCCTTTCGTTCCTATATTATTTGCTTTTTGTGTTCTGATGCTTGGGTGTGTTAATGTTTCTTTGCCTGAGATACTTGCATGATTACAGAATGAAATAAATTGCATTCAGTATTTGAAATATTTGTGTCCTGTAGACAATTTAAAATTGAAAACGAGTCAATACAGCAATTACAAATAATGTATGTGGAATCTAAAACTATAGTTAAAACAATGCAACAAAATGCATTGCTTGGGTATAAATTCAGAATGGAATGAATATTTGTATCTACGGTCTATGTTACAATAAAAAATTAGGTTGCATAGTTTTTTTTGGAAGATTCATTAACTTTTAAAAATGTGCAAAATATTTCTTTTGTAAATAAAATTTCTAATTCTTGAGGCACGGAGTACATTTATTCTAATGATGTCAATGCCCTATTAACAAACCATTTATACTGATTTATTTAGATATCTTTTAATTCTGTAGTAGTGAGATAGTGAGAACAACAGAAAAGCATTCAATCTCCTAAAGTTCTACTTATTTTTTTAAGTATTTCCTAAAATTTGAGTTCAATAATATTAGTTATTTGCATGTATGAAGGAGAACAATGAAAGATTGCATATGCACCATCACTCAGTGAAGCAGCTTGGTGCTTTGCATGTGGATTTTGTATCTTATATGTCTGCTTGACACGTTTTTCTTCTCTTCTGCAATGCTTGCTCATGTTTTGTGTTGTCCCTGGTCCCTTCCCCCTCTCTCTTTTCTGTTTTAGACGCTTTTTATGATGGCCGCTTGTATCGTTGTGGTAATAAGTTTAGTGGGGAGAGACTGGATGAAGCTGAAAGTGCAGCGAGTGAGGAAGCTAACATGGCTTCTGTGTCCTCACCAGATCACCATCGCGATCGGGACAGTGATGACGAGGACCATTGGGATGAACGCAGAGATGGCTCCCGAACCACATCAGTTAAATTTCCTGATGATTTGGATAGAGATGATGTTAACCGAGAGGTGTGTAGTTAGTGCTTAGAAATATTTTTTAGGTAATTTAAACTACTGTTAAAGTTATTCAGTACATTATTGTTTAATTTTTTTCTAGCAGACACCATTTGTGCGGCAAAATACACCACATCCCAGAGAATTGAAAGCAAAGTATCAAAAGTTTGGGAAAGGAAAAACTGCAGATAGCAGAACAACAAACGAAGATGGGGTAATGAATTCTTATTCTTAAATTGTTATGAATTAGATATCACCATAAATTATTGGAAATCTTCAATTTCTGGAAATCTAAAATCAATATATAAGTAACAAAAAGATCCATTTCAATTTATATTACTATTTTGTATATTAATTGCACGGATTCTGTAGGATATTTCAAGACCGGAAGGGGACCAAAGTATGCCAACTACTGAAGAAAGTAATTGCTTAGATCAATCTGAGAAGGTTAATGAATCTCGACAGGTAGGAGCAGTTTCTTTTTTCACTAAATAATGAATTTCTTATTTAGAATAGTACTTTTTGTGATTCAGATATGTAATGAATCAGCATTTTGTTGTTACAGATGCCTGACCAAAATCCACTTGCTGCAACCCAGCAACAATTACCTACTCCACCTGCACCCCCGCAAGTGAAGCAAGTGGTAATGCAAGAAGTAGAGCAGCCACGACTGCAGGAAGTGCCACCATCTCCTCCTCCACCCCAACAAGCACAGCCCCAGCAACCTGTGGTGGGTAACCAACCCCATGAAATCACCGGTAGCAACGATGTTCCCAGTGAAGATGGTGTAGAACTACGACAACAAAGCGAAGATGAGGATGAAGATGAAGATGTAAGAGTAGGCCTTAAGTAATTTTCTTTGTACTTGGGTGAATTAAAATGTTTATTTATTGAATAGATATGAATTTATTACTTCTTGTTAAGACACAAATTAACTTTCTTTCAAAAACTTAACGTTAAAGCTTAGGGCAGTTATGTGGCAAGGTCGAAATCTTTTTGATTATTCTACCTCTTTATATTTGTAATGAAAGAAGATAATGGTGTTTAAATTTTCAGAGTAAATTATTATAACCAATGCCAGTGAAAATTGTAAGTTTTTAGAGTATTTTGGGATTCTGTAATTATTTTTTTTTAGAGAAACAAGGACTGCATAGGTAAGAATATTCTATACTTGAATGAAGAGAAACTTCACATATGGCTAAGTTAGTTTAGTTCCAAAACTGTTGGGACTGCAGCGACTCGTAAGGTTTGAGTGGTGGACTTTCAGCGTTAGCTACATAGTTGGCTCAAATTCAGCCTCTGTCTGGAGAAGAATTCTAGCAGCTGGTTGCCCTGAGAGTTTTTCATGATTTCTCCAATCCAGATTAGGCTTGTGCAATAGCCTATCAAACAGGCCAAGAACTGCATGCAATCTTTCCCTCCTTTTCTCTTATACACATGCATATACAAATCCAGCCGCACCCGCGACTTTCTTCACAACTTTACTTGCACTTATGTGCAGCTTGCATGCCACACACACACGTGCGCGGCGCACACACACACACCACACACACGAAGACACAACACACACACACATCATAGCATGGCATGCATCATGCACACACTCAATTCAAGACATATTTCCACTACCACACATGTGAGAAAACCAGAGCTTCTCCCGGCTAGGGCAGCGCCCAGCTAATAGAGATACCTGGAGGGGAAACACCACAAAAGGAGATGTAACCTTCATTACACATGCAGTACTAATAACCATTATAGTTTACATGCCCAGAAACACCAATCAAACTATAAATGCCCCTTCTCAGTCCATGAAGGTGGCTTCTAAGGGGTTCTCAAAATTATTTTCAAATGTGATTCCAATGCTTATTGTTAAATGGCTAATATTCCATTTCGAAAACTAACTAATACTTTTCTTCAAAATAAATGAAACTGTTTTATGATGGATACTTAGGCATATTTTTGTGTAAATTTTCAGATTTTACTGATTGAATACATATATATTTTGGAGAGTATAGTGCATATAAATCCAGTTTCTGGTTAAGCCAACCCATTTTTGCAGCCAAACATATGGTGTTCATAACAATCTTTTGTTATTATAAATTTGTCTCTTGTAATTAAGAAATAGTATTTTAGAGTTTTAAATAATTTGCACCATCTTCATAGGATTTACTGATTTTGAAGTGTTTTTGAGCTGCCCAATTTATTATGTTAATTTTTCATTGGTCTTTTTGAGTTAGAAGGGAATAAACAAAAATGTTATTATCCATAAATTCTTTGTTTCTCTCGAGAAAATTAGAATCCATTTTATTACAAATTCATTAACATATTAACCTGTGAATTTTCCAGTTTAAAAGGCAGCTCATAAAAGGGGGAATTAATTTGGTTTTATGCTGGACGTACTTGTCGCAACTGATACAATTATGCGAGAACAAATCATCTTGACCCACCCAATAGAGCAAGGCTATGATTTCTTATCTCTTCCTACTCTATACAATAATTTATTGTGATCACAATATATCACAATCTGCCCACTTACGGCCAAAGTAGCTGAGTTTTCATAGCAAAAGGATGTATAAATTCATTGAGCCAAAAAAGGTCCAGAAAATCCTCATGACAAGTTACATCTTCATGCCCAGTTAGGAGGTAAAGTGCTTATTAGCATGGGTTAACATTATTTAATCACTCTTAAAACTTGAACCTCCATGATTGTCTTTACAAAAGTATAACTAATAGGTGTACTGTTAAAAAAAATAATTAAGAAATAAATATATTGACCCTTCAGAAATGATTAGTAATAATTTTTCTTGCAATTGGGCTACTGGAATAAAATGTTTTCATGCAAAAAACAATAATGTTCTTAGTTGATTTTATATTATCATATTTTTTGAGGAAAGTCATAATTCTTTGCAGGATGAAGGCGAGAGGCATGTTGGGTTTCAAGTAGGCACAGAAGCAGTGAGTACAGGATCTCGACCCAATCGTCTTCATCGAAGAGACACTCCCCACCATTTGAAAAACAAACGCATCAATGCTCAGCTAGATCACAATAAAGTGGCTTCTATAATTGCACAGGTAGCTATTGTACTTCTTATAACCTTTAGAACTTGTTTAAACCATTGCTTCTGCAACTCAAATACTTATCAGTGAAATCATGGAACATAATGAAATGAATTTTATAGTTGTCTTATAGGCTTAGATATAAAATGTTCTTTTATTTTAATTGGAGCAATTACAATTGTCCAATAATGTTTTGAATTTTGTTTATTTTTTTGGTATGAGGAAGTGAGTATTAACTGGAATTCTTTTGAGGTTATTATGTTTTGTTGATAATGTGACAATATTTTCAATTTTCTATTAAAATTTAAAAAAATAAATTTTTTTGATATTATTCCTGAGATAGCTTGTAAGTGTATCATAACTTTTGTTATACTTTGGGTGCACTATTCCATTTTCAATTTTTATACCATTTTATTGCATTTTAGTTTTTTCCACTCTCCACGATTTTCTCACTTTAAAAAAAATCTTATTTACTACTTATTACCACTTGCTACTTCTTTACCATTAAATTTATTGGATGTTGGGACTTCCAGTACTGTTGCAATTCGTGTGAAAAAGAACAGCACTTTACATTTGTATGTTAATTTATTTAATGACCTGCTGACAGGTCACAAACTTATGTTTATGTTTTCTCTACTTGCACAATCTTCCTTATAAGAATGAGGAAGCATTGGGACTGTTATGATGCCTGTCACTTCTGGCCCATGTGGACAATGACATCACCTCATTGAAGGTGTGTGTATATGTGTGTGTGCCCTGGTTGAGGTGGGTGGCAGTGAAGGTCACTAGGATGTGTGTCGCTTTAGCAATGCTTCATGGCCAGTGTGACATCACCATCCAGGCTGCACGCACTACTGAACAGCTAGTTATATAAAGCTGGAGGCTCAGTATTTGTCAGACCTTAGAGGAGGAAGCATAGGGAATGTGTGGCTTTCTTGCAAATAGTTTTGACTATAAAATTATTGAGTTGCCAAATGATGCAAGTTCAATTTTACATCAAAATGCGTGGAGAAACGGTAAGAAATGCTGGAATATGTTAGAAAAGTAATAACAATAAATTGTCAATAAAACATTGAACATTAATTATCTGTGTATTTCATGATTCTGATGAAAAAAAAGACGACTTCAAACATTATCTGTTAAATTTTTTGCAAGTAAGTTTTTGTATCAGCAAATGTTAACACTTCTTTAGATGTGTTGTAAATGTGAATAATGATATTGAAACTATAAATGAGGTAATATTCTGTCGCTTCATTTCTGTTGTTTTTAAGCATTACAAGCTTTTAAAGTGCAAAACATACAGTTGTATTGACCCCCTCTTGTCATCATAGAATCTATCTTCAAATAACAATAAGAATTTAACCTGACTCATGGAAAATGTGAAGACAAAACTTCGTATAAAGCTCTTCCAACTGCATTGTCAGTTGGAAGTATAGTTAAACATCCTAAATAAAAAGCAGAACAATGTTTCTCTTCATAATTTTGTAAGAAAATTGAAGCTTTGGATGGGAAGAAGTAAGAAAAAATTAAGACTGATCCAGAGAAGAGAAGTAGTATATATGGCTTAACTCAAAACAGGAAATGTGTTTCTTTGTGCACACAAGTAAATGTTCATTATATACGTGGCCAATGATATTTAATTACATTACTTTTATGTACTCACTATTAATTGTTAGTGGTTACTTTTATTGACCCATTCAACAGCTTAAAAATGTTCATTAAATTGACTTTTAAGTATTTGGACATAAAAATTCCATGGTGGTAGCAGCAGATATTTTTTTGTAATCCATAATGGGAGAAGGGAATAATCGTCCACAAAGAGTATAATAATTTTATTAATTATTACCCAGAGTTAACTTTCAGGAAATCACTTTTCCCATCCTCAGTGGGTCTTGCCCAAGCTTGATCACGTATAAATGTTCACAATTGTCAGGATTGGAAAAATAGGGAAACTGAAAAACATTCCGGGTATGGCTAGATAGGAGCCATCTTGTGGAATGGAGAGAAGAGAAAGTTAATCATGATTATTCCCATGTTAAACCTAAAGCTTATTTATGTAACATGCCTAACAAATTCTTTATTTAGAGACACTAATGAATGCAGTAGGTATATGTCATTGCAATGTTTCATTATTACATATCTTTAAATAACTTTCTTGTTAGAATCAGTATTCAGTTCTTTGAAATTCATGTTTTCATGGGTGCATAATTTATTTTGCAAATATCTTTTGTGCAAAACAGATATGTAAACCTCGTTTTGTTTTGGTGAATTGAATTTGCAATGTTTTGGGCATCATGTTAGTTGTTTTTTTTTGTTCTTTTTTTTTTTAACAATGTGAACTGAAATTTTTATTTTATAGAAATTTGTAATTTTCTACTGTGCTTTTTAAGTACCTGAAACACTGTGGGGTGTAACCAAATATGACCGTTCAAAGGTTTTGGAAAGTTCATAGCAATATTTAAAGACAAAAGTTTCACTAGAAAAATATTTTTTGGTCTTTATTGATTACCCCGTTTTAATGCTATCAACAACATTGTCAGTTGGGAGTTGACAGGGAATATTTAATCAATGTAGCATAGTTCTGCTGGTGTCAAGTGTGGTTATAAATTGTCAGTTTTGTAATTCTCATTGAACCTCATCTTCGATTAAGTAAAAGAGTATCCATGTACTTAATGTGTATGTATGTTCCACAAACTCTGTTGAAACCACTAGAATGATAGCTCTAATTTTGCATGGCTGGAAAGAAAGGGGGGAGGAATTAAAGATGTTACTCCAAAAACTTCTTTTTTTAAATTTAGTTGAATTCACAACGCATCAGTATTGTTATTGGACAAAGCAGGTCACAGTTGGGTGAAGTGGGTGGGTTGAGGCATGGCAGATTGCAGAATGAGTGGAGGTGTTTAATTAATGTAGTAGTAGATGTACTGCAAGTATTTTTCCCATGACTAAATAGTCAAAAAACAGTAAAAACTCTATGTTACATATGGTGGAGAAGATCTTCTATGCAAGTTTTTTTGAATACCAGAATTTCTTCCCATAATTTTAACTGTAAATAGTTTACAGATCAGTAAAAGTTAAAGATAGATAAATAAAATTTAAATTTAAAAAAGCGCAAGATTAGCAACATTTGGAAAACTAGATGTTTTTGTTCCTGAGTTATTGAAAACTTATTTGCAGCAACAAACAAACTGCAGGTTTGATTTTTCTGCTTTGCTAATAAAATAGTATCTCACCCTTACCTCTACTCCTACCAATGCAAGCAAAAGGAGAGTTCAACAAAACATGTGCATAGTGAGGATACATTTACGTCCCATTATTTCCCAAACTTCTGACCCATATGTGGCAGTAATCTCTCTGAAATTCTTATATATTTTTCTCTTAACACACTTCCTCATACTTTGATTCAATTTTAAGGGATGCAATTACCTTATAGCTACTTTCCGCTTTGATATGCTGCTCTAAATATCTTGTATACTACCACCATTTGCTGCTTTTGAGCACCTAGCTAGGTCACATTCTGGCAGGATTTTCATTCTCATCTGTCACATTGGCATCTCTTCCTACAACCAGATACTGTCATTATAGTAAACGTCTGAGGACTAAAATTTTTGGTTCACTATATCCGATGATGTCAAAATGAAATCAAATTTTTCCATAACATTTGATTTTATTAATGTAGAGATACAGCAAAATACATTAATAGCATGAACTGAAAATTTCAATACCTTCATTTGTCCTTAAAAAATCAATTATTTTCAATTGCATGCTTTGTACTTATTTATTAGTAGTTTCTCTAGATCCTTTTCCGGAGTTTGTGCTCTCTCAATACTTGATTCTGCATTCTCCTTTGTATCCAAGTATGGTAATGCAGTGTTGGCATGGTTCGATGCCTCCAGCACTGGTGGAATATCGTCTCACTCTCCAAAGACCCTTTTACTCGCCTAATAACATATGAGATGGTTTCGGAAGCGGGATGGCGCAAACAACTAGTGAAACCGAATACTTTTCTCTGCCACTTCCACGGAACTTCATCCTACGGAATATCAAGGAACACCAAGTTTGAAACTAAAGCAAACTATTGCGAGTCACCACCAGCACTTGTAGCCCCCAGGTCAGGGCCTTTGTTTCCACTATGAAACTGAGCTACATAAGATCATTAGTAAGGTGCCCATTTCAGGTCCGCTACCTTCACCTCCAGTTCTTTACTTTTGACCTTTGGCGAAAGATATTGTTTTCAAGCTGCTTGTAATATAAATTTGACTTACAATGATACTGCAAATAGATCTTTAACACCTTTCAGTAAGTACATCATTCAAATAATGATTATGGTAAATAAATACCATGCCTTAAAGTAATGTGTGTTGATAATACTAATAGCCGTTGTAATGATTTTCTTGTTCATGTTAATCGTTGGGATACTAAATAATTCAGAAAGATGGATACTTTTGCATAAATGCTAGTCAGTATTACATTCATTTTTGCCAAACAGCAGGAAAACAATTTTGGGAAGTTTGGAATTGACATTCAGGATAATGCCATACATAGTTTGTCATTTAAAATGAAGGTCAAAAATTGGAAATTTCAGTCAACATAAAAAGTATTCATGAATAAGCATGCACAAATATTGGTTTCAAGCCTGGTATTAAAATTACACCTCAAATATGCATGTTCTCTCTGTCTTTGTTTCTTGGAAGACTATGATTTTTGAATTCATAATTCAATTTTTTCCTCTTTCTTTTTTCTCTTTAACTTCTAAAGTGGTTTGATTCATGTATGAAGCAGTCCTTAATTTCCCAAGTAAAATGTCATAGATTGACATTTATTAATTATTTCTGAAGATCATTGTTCTGTACTTGGGATCTACAAATTAAATTATTTCATTGGTGGGATGTTGTTGTCAATTTATTAAAATGTATATACTTTGCATCTTAAATTTGTACTACTTTGAAAGGTTGTAACCTAAATTTTGCATGTCTCACAGAAGTGTATCTTGATTATAACCTAGTTAATGTTTTCGATAATAAGACTGTACTTGGATTAAGCAGCAGGCAAGAAATCATTAACCGACTTTTTCTTTTCTACAGAGATCTTTGACCAAAATCAACACTATGAGCTTAATATTAGTAACTAGCTTAGTGTGGTGCCCCTGGCACGATTTTCATATTAAAAGAAATTATTTCTGCAAAGCAAGTTCATGATAAAAAAAAATTAATTCTAATTCATTGCCCTACTCATCCATCCTTGGCACAGAACATGAAAATGTGTGATAGAAATTCTCATAAAAAATGTTTGTTTTATTAAAAATAAAGCTTTATTATTACCAATGGGATGAATCTAGTCATAATAGTGCATATTGTACTACAAAGACAGAATTGTAATTGTGATAGTTTCTTCTAATTTAATCATTATATAGTGCCTTGAAGGCTACCAAATCACACAAGTGAAATGAGTTTTTAAGCACCTTTGTAGGTCTCTCTCTCCCCATCCCCATGTTGGATAAAAGACTTACAGAGGGGGGGGGGATAAGAGTTTTCCTTTATTGCAATATCTGCTTCTTGAAAACTATTTTAAACGTTTTTAAAAGGAGAATAAAAAATGTATTACCCTAAACTTGAAGCTTTTTTAGTTTTTATTGCAGGGTTTTTCTTAGTAAATCATTACCATAAATGAAATTTGTGGAAGTTGATATTTATTTGCCCATTAAAATTTAAATGATTGAAATGAAAAGTTGTTTAGTGCTTGTTTTGTAAATGGTTTATCATTATCTAGTAGTATTAAAACAACACAACTAAACAAAAGTATGAATTAAAAGAAATGAAGGTTTCATTTTTTGAAAAATTCCTTAGATGTTATGTAGGAATAATTTCCAAAAGTGAAAGTAATAAAACAATGTGATGTTTCTCTTATCAAATTTTCCTAAAACTTGTTTTTACCAGAAACCATTTATTCTACGAAAGTTTATCTCTCAGCGCTTATCTGACATTTCTCTTATCTGTTGTGATTGCTTACAGGCGATGAACAAGCGGAGAGAGGATGATACTGATAAAGCTTCCTTTTACTCTACACCACCAGAATCTATTGGGGAACATAGCCAAGGTACAGTGACTCAGCCCTGTAAGTTTGTTTAGGCTGATAACAAGAATTTATCTTTAAGCTTAAACTTAGTATAACCATTTGTAAGAGATTTAGGACAGGGAAGGCATCTATAGTTCATAATCACTCAGAGACTCTGTGAAGCATAACAAAATGTGGCAGTCATTATTTCAAAGACGTAGGCCAAGGCCTAATCAGAATCGCTATTCTGCAGCACCAAATGTGGCCATTGGCACAACTAGTGCAACAGCACAAAATGAAAATGTGGTTATGAATAAATATTTAGTGAAAAGTGAAGGTGATCTGTTATCCATTGGAACGTCAACTACTTATTCACCATCAAGTACCATTGATTCGAGAGAAGAAAAGAAGCAGCAATTAAAATCAAAGGGAAGTGATAAATCTAAGGAGTTATCCCCTATAAATTCAAACATTTGGGTATCAGGAAGCTCAGATACTTCTTCATCTTCAACTCCTACTCCGTCAAGATCTTTTGATAGAAATTTCAGTGGGCGTTTTTCTTCAAAAGAAAACTTAGAAAGAAAAGGGTCGTTGGTACCAAAAGAATTAACATCTACATCAGTTCCTCATGTGTTTAATTCAGAAAATAATGAAGGTACACAATTGGCAAAAGAAAACAAAAATATTAACAAGAGTAGTGAATCTTTATCTAAAGAAGCTGAGAAATTTGCTTCCCTTTTTTCTCTTGGTAAAAATAGAAAACATAGCAAGTCAACTGAAATCCTATCAGCAAGTAGAAAACAAAAATCATCTGATAGGGGAAAACAGAAGAATGAAGATATTTCAGCTGTGAAAGTGCAAGATGTAGATCCACGAAACAATTTAAGTGATGATAATATGTCTGCTTTTGAAGCAAATGCATTAAAACGTGGGGTAAAGGAAAGATCATCTTGGAGATTAAAATTCTCATCGAGAAATAAATCAAAAGTTTCAAAGGATCATGATGACAGTTCTGTTGTTAACGATTCGGCATCAACGGCATCCTTGTCTAATGCCACTAGTGATAATACCAGCAAAAGAAACTTAAGCAAGAAAAAGAATAAGGAAGAAGAAAAACTCAGTAAAATGTTGGAATCAAATTCTGTTGAACAATTAACTGATCCCATTTCTCCTAATCCTTATTCAGATGCAGTGTTTGATAGAAACGACAATGTAAGGAGATCTGCAAGGAAAGAAAAGAACGAGTCTGTTTTGTTGAAGAAAACAGATAATGTTGAATCAGATTCAATTTCCCCTGTTATCAGTTTGGACGAAAAAGGAAATAAATCGTTAAAGAAGGAGAAGTTTACATTTGGGAAGAAATCCAAAGAAACCAATAATCAAAGTACTTCTGAAACAGTTTCTAGTGTTACTTCTGTTGATGATACTAGTGAAAAAGGAGGAACTATTGGTAAAACAAAAAAGAAAGACAAATCATTCTTTGGCAAAAAATCTACTGTAAAGAAAAGTGTGTCAAATGCCACCATCACAGCTGTTTCAACAATTGATAGGAATGAAAAGGTGGAAAATCCACAAATAAAAGACAAACACACTTATATTGAAGACGATAGTGTGTCAGATTCCAATACAGCTATTTCAGCTTCAATTGTAAGTGAAGAAATAAAAACAATGAAAAGAGAGAACTCTCTAAAGAAAGGGAAATTCTTTTTTGGCAAAAAGTCAAAAACCAGCTCTGAGAATAATGTACAAGAACCTGTTTCTATGGCATCTACTATTACAGTTACCTCAGATCAAGAGATTGAACAATGTGAAAAAACTACAAAGGAAAAGAAGCACAAAAAAGAGAAAAAATCTAAAAAGCAGGAAGAATTTAATTTTCAAGATTCTGTTTCAGCTTCTTCACTTGCAGATAGTACTCTAGATAAGAAGGCACCCAAGAAAGAAAAATCTGGCAAGAAAACAAAAGTTAAAAATGAAAACAATGCAGATTTAACTGATCAGGGAACAAAAAAAAAAAGTTGGTTCAAAAAACGTGATAAATCAAAAGAGAAAAAGCAGGAATCTGATTATGGCACTTTGGAAAAGGATAGTGATATTCCACTTGACTATAATGATGCAGAACTAGGGACAAATTGGGAGTATGGTGCCTCAAATTCTACCGTTGGTTTTGGGAACCAAAATCAGGACATGAAGAATAAGTGGAACATGAAAGTTATGCAGAGAGGTAAGTACAAGTTAACTCTATTGTTTTTATAATGTCTCTTATCAGAGACTTTACTTTTTCAGGTAAAAGTCAAGTATACAAATCATGCTGATATATCGCTATGATTTACAGTCATGTCAATCAAAAATGACCGAGAGACTTCCTTTAATATTGTTACTGAAAAAAAACAAAAAAAACCCTGTATTTATTTATTGAAGGCGTTCATGTACATTTTAAAACAATGCGAAATGAAATTTTGAAAATTTCAGTGGCTCTCAGTGTGAGGTCTGAGTATTAGAAACACACCACACTGTATTGTTTTGTTCTTTTTTGCATTGCTGATATTTTAATGTTACAGAAAACTGAGCAAATCTGTTGAGATTTTAAAATTTCTAACATAAATTCTAGTAAAAAATCATAACAAATTATGTCAGCATAAGCCACAACAAATACACAGACACTCTGTAATTTTTTTACTGATTTTATATGTAAATGCCTGCCTTATGTGAAAATGAAGAAAGAGTTACTAATTTAAAGTGTTCACAGAAGATTAACAATGACATTATTTTATACAGAATTTTTACAATAATGCTTTCATTGGAGAATTTATGACTTGACTGAATGAGGTAATGCAAATGAGGAATGTGTTTGGTTCATGCTGTTATTGGTGTTATTTATATCAAATATTCTAAAGAAACCCTACTAATAATAAAATTAACGAAATTGTTGCAGACCTTGATGCCAATATTGAGGTTCAGGAAGAACAGTATGAAATTCATATTGAGCGTACACCAGTTGGCTTGGGCCTTTCCATTGCGGGTGGTCGTGGCTCCACACCTTTCAAAGGCGATGATGAGGGCATATTCATCTCACGAGTATCAGAAGGAGGACCTGCAGATCTGGCAGGACTGCGAGTAGGTGACAAGGTTTTGTCAGTCAATGGTGTATCAGTTGAGGCAGCTGATCATTATGATGCTGTTGAAGTGCTTAAGGCAGCTGGAAATAAATTGGTGCTGGTGGTCACCCGAGAAGTGACTCGCCTTGTTGCTGTGACAAGCAAGGTAAATATGGATGAGTAGAAAAGCTTAAGAAAAAAATGCATGAAATTCCTTTTAGTATGGCTGTATACAGGGAAATGCCTTCCTTATTTTGTATGTGCATGTGTACTGTGTTTGAGTTTACAACTTTCTTGTTAATTTTTCAGTTGCCATTTAGTGTACAATAGACCTCTAACAATCTCAAAAGAAAAAAATTATTGGTCATAAGAAATCTATAGTGGCAAACTTTTTCAAACTTGCATACACACCATTCAAAATAATTGAATCAGTTTTTATAGTAATCTTTTCCTTAAACGAGGGATTCTTGTTCAGTGCATGTTATGTTATTATTTCACTACTTCATTTTCATTTCTGGTGTTAGACTTTATAGAATATTCAATGGGACATCTTAGTTTTGAATTAAGAAAAGCAGTGGTTGTTTGCAATATGTTGTGTTGAATTTTACTGTTTAGAAAACAGTGTCATTCAACTTTAATTTAAACTAAAATATAATTTGGTCTCTATTTGTGAGATACTGAGCAGCTTGATATGCAAAGGTTATGGCATTGTTTCTGCCTTGAAACATTTTTAACAGTTTTTAACAAAATTTGATCAAAACTACAAGATTGTCACTAATATTTGATTACTTATAATTATTCTAAAAAACACAAAAAGATAAAATTGTTTGGCAACTTGTGTGTTCTTGTGCCCTTTGTGTGGTGACCCTGTCCCATGCCCTCAGCCTGGCAGTGAAAACGCCGCCTCGCCCTCACCTAGTTCCACTCCCACATTTCGACCTGCTGGGACTGGAGCTGACTCAGCGTGCTCGAGCCTGGGGCCAAGTCGTGCCCCCAGCCAAGCATCTCATGTATCAGCTACCTCAGGTTTTGAAAGTCAGACTCACATGCCTGGTGGGCCTCATCAGGACATGGAAAATAGGGCTAAGGTGAGGTCATAAAATGACTGGTGTTTTGTGAATTGAAAGGATGTGATTTTCTGTATATTGCTTAAAATTTTGTCCTTTTTTATGATCAACAAAATGTTTTGTTTTCTGAAATTTTGTATAAAACTACTAATTATTCCATTATTTTCTTTAGTTTCAAAAGTGTCATTTCTTACTGAACATTTTCAATTTGTACTGAACCTGGTGAATTATGTTTTCTTTCTGTTTGCCTGTTTACCAGTGTTACTCACACTACAATTCTATTACAGCCCCAGGTAGCCAAGAAGGTACCAGATCCTCTACCTACTGGTGCAACTAATGGTCATGATCTAGAAATTAAGAAACAACCTGTACATACTACCCTGATTCGAGACCAAAATGGTCTTGGATTCAGTATAGCTGGAGGAAAAGGCTCTCCACCTTTCAAAGACAACTCAGATGTAAGTTTGTATTTCAACCACATAGATTGCTTTTAAATTACACATAAGTAAGTTGAAGAACAGTTTTATTCAAACGTATTTTTAATTACCCTAGTCAATTCTTAATTCCTCTCATGCCATCCTAATCTTCATATGTTGTATATTCAATTATCCTTCACTATTTCATCTTGCCCTTTTCATTATTTCTCCTTCATGATCCCACTTCTCTCTGCTCACATTGAAGTACTCTAATGAATATTGAAGTGTGTCATTGAATTTCATTGTGCAGGCAATATTCATATCTCGAATTACTGAAGGAGGAGCTGCTGAAAAGGATGGGAAACTATGTGTAGGTGATCGTGTTGTATCGGTGAGTGTTACATATTTTGTACTGATGACAAGCATCTACAGGGCTGGGGCACTTCAAATAGAACAATAATTGCCGAAGTACTTCCACCAGTAAATATTATTGAATGACATTATTCTTACTCAATTGCCCCAGCCTTGTTAATTGCTGTGCTTGGGGGCTTCCGTCCTTGTGGTTTTTTGTGTGTCCTACGTCGGCATATGTCTGTCTCTTTCTTCCACGTGCAGCCTAATTCCGATACAGCTTCTGTCAAGAGTCCCCGGCATTTCTCCTTCAGTTGAATGTTACTAGTGCTGTGCTGACTTCTCCACCGTCATGGCCATATGATATCCAAGTAACTACCTGATTAGAATTATGAACTCTTTCCTAGAGCTTCAAAGGACTTTCTTAAGATATCTGATAGATTAGCCTGAGAAGTAGGTATTCATGCGATTATCCCATTTTTCTCATATGCTCTAGGCTTCCTCCAGCACAGTTAATGCATGCCGCACCTTGACATGTAGTTAGTGTGCCTGCTCCTCCATATAAGCGGAGAGGAAATGCCTGCCCTTTGGAGTGACATGAGGCCATGTGCTAGCTTAACCCTCTGGGAAAGGAGAAAAGCCCAATAACCTGCATGCCAGGTGTTAAGCAAGACTCATTATTAACTTGGTGGAATATCCCACTTACCTACTAAAACAATATAGTGATAGCATAGTGAAAGCATTAATTATCTAGTTCTGAAAATTTTTAATTTGTGACTTTTCTTGTGTTAGCCAAACATTATTGAGATGGTAAAACATTGTTTTGCGTATAAAATTCAATTTTATTAAACATGCATTACTTTCTTAAATTTTTTATTATGTTACTTATTGTAGAGAAAATGACAAAAGGAAAACTATTCTTTCTATCATACTTTCCTATGCTGCACTGTTCCCTTTATTATCAGAACGTTTTCATCATCTTTGGAAAGAAAAGTTCAGTTCATATCCTTGGAATATGAATTTCAGTAACATTCTGTTTCTTTAAAAATGTATAAGAAATTAATTTCAAGTTGTGTAATGGAAATACTTTTTTTCAAACCATTAACCTGCATATTTTTGGAGTTAAAAGAATATAATTTTTAGTTTGAAATTGAATGAATTGCTATAAGAATTTGCTTTTATATTTCATGAAATGAATAGCATCAATAATAAGTTTTACATGTATTCACTTTCATCATAAATGAAATATAAAAATAAAATGAGTGTAAATATGTATAAAATTAGCACCAGTAGTTAGACTGTAGAACACCTCTTTGAAGGTGATTTGTTCTGTAAGCATTCAAAAGCTGCTCAGAGCAGCCTTGCAGGACCCCAGAGAGCCATGTGCTGAGCAGTGCTCTGCTGTTACCCGCAGATCAATGGTGTGGACATGGAAGGTGCTCGCCATGACCAGGCCGTGTCCATGCTGACAGGCCTGGAGAGGTTCGTGAGGCTTGTGGTGGAGCGTGAGGTGCGCGTGCCACGCGAATCTCTTGGCTCGTCCCCATCCCCCTCCCCGTCCCCTGGTGCTTCGGAGCGGTCACCCCGGGTCTTCGGTGCACCTCGCCCTTACACGGGCCTCTACTCAGCGGCCAGTTACTTGGCCAATCGACCAGGCTACACTCCAGGTTATCGTCAAACACCCGCAGCAGTAACAACTACCACAACTACCACGACATCTACTGCACCATACGGCAAACTCCCAGGACTACGAAACGATCCCATAATGGTGACGCCTTCAGATGCCAGCAGTGTCAGTGGGGACAGTGACAAGAAGAGTGTAGTGTCGGACACTAGCACCACGCGATCAGGGGTGCAGCCTCCTAAACCTGCCCCCAGACGACTTACGACTTCGACCATGTCTGATGGACAGAAAACTGCACCTTCCCCAGTGAGCTCGGAGAGTTCATCTGACCCAGCAACACAGGTATTGCCGAAGCCTATCACAAATGAAGAGTTTCAAGCCATGATTCCCGCCCACTTCCTTCAACCCTCTAATTCTACGGCAGCTGACGCTGGGGGACCCACTGTGGTTGTGACAATCAAGCATCCAGAGTCCGGCATGGGGGATGTGCAATTTGGCCCTACTCCTACTGCGCTTGGTAAAGTCACTGAAACCATCACTAAGAGCACCTTCACCGAGACTGTTGTGACACGGGTCACAGACAACAAGTTGGTGCAGCCAGTCATCATTGAGGTTAGTCCAAACTGCTGACCTGCTGCTGTTCAGACTGAAACCAAGACCTCGGGAAGAGCTACAGACATTTGACTGATTCTGAATCAATGCAGTTTTGGGAACCAGGAGGGGAAGGGTTCAGTTCCTCGAGGAGAGTGTTTATAAATACAGTGAAACACATGGGCCTTTTATGCGTGTATTCTGTGAAAGTTAACGTGCTGCTCTGACTGTAGCTCTTACCCTGGATTATGTTCAGCAAATTACTTCTTTTAGCAAAATACTTAATCACTTTAGAACATGGAGTCTAATTTGTTCCAAAATTAGAAGAAGAGTTTAATATTAATTTTTCAAACATAACTGCTTTTATAAAATTAAGGAAATGTTTGATATATAATTCATTCCTGATGTGTTGACATGTCTTGTAAATTTAATATTATTTGCTTTCAATGTTGTCCAGTGGTTTCCAAAATTTGAATTTGAAGCCGAGAAGATAAGTCCAAGGTTTCAGTCATCAGGGGCAGAATCAGTACTGGAATATTTAATGAATTGTTTTCCTATCCACAATTGTGTGGCCTGATTATTTTCTTTTAATTTTCCCAATATATTATTGTTTTATGCATACTTTTAAAAAAATTTGGTTTTGTTTAATTACTAACCTGTGTTACACACTGCCTCTAATATAGATTTGTTATTAAACCCCTCCATAACAAAGAATAAAGAAATTTTGTAGATGAATGACTAACATGTGAATATTGAATTACTTTGTTTGTGAGAAAGCACTTGTAGAAATTAAGAATGCTGCATGGGTTAATGATGTATTCTCAATTTATGAGGATTTTCAATCTTTGCACTGTTGGTTTTTGAGGAAGAATTGTCACAATGCTTGAGAAACTATTCAGAGTTACTAATGGTTCTCAACCACTTACCTGTATAGCCTTTGCAAAACCACTGTAGTTTCGTAAATAGTTGCACAGAAAGAAAAATCATTGCATGGGGAAATACGAATGGAAATTTTGGAGAAAGTCCTGCACTACCTTTGTACCATTTGTCTTAGAATGTGGAGGAGGAAAAAATTGTTCATATTGGCCAAAATTCAGATTTATTATCCTTAGTTTTTGTTGTTGTTTTTTAACCAGAGTTTAAGCTATTCTTAACAGCATCTCTTTCCTTTCTTGATGGATCGATCATTCATCATTCACGTTCTTTTTATTTTTGGTTTTGTGTGGCTTTTGTAAGATTGTGAACTGAAATGGTTGCTTGTATGTTGTAATGCTGTTTGTTTGTGTGCGTATTGCTGAAATCTCTTGGCTCATCAGACAGGTAGGGAGAAAACAGTATTCTAGGACAAATTACTCCATGTAGAATTGTCTTGATTTATGGAGATTTTGTCTTTGGATACTAAAAATTGCAAAATTTGCGTTGGAAACTTTCTGAGGATATGTTAATGTTTTCATGTTGAAGTGTACAAAGCTGTTGGTTAGATTTATGTCGTTGTGATGTCATTGTCTAGTAAGGTCCTCAGAGAGTTTATTGCATGGATTGTTGCACAGCTGATGCAGTCAGTCTGGTTTGGGATGTCAGGTATAACAGTAATACCCATTGTTGGTAGAACAAGAAATCAAAGCAATTTTTACTTGCTATTATAATATTCTTATTCAAGCATTTGTATAACGGAAGAAATTGTATATATATTTTGTCCCCTTGCGTCATTGTCACTGCTAAATATGCTTTTCATGTTTTGCCCAGTGGGTATCTACTAAGATCTTTCTGTATTGTTATTATGATTTGTATCACTCCTTTTCCTGGTAATAAGAGGAGGTTTTCATATTGTGTTAATCAGGCAAGCAAACAAATGCTTTCAATTATTGCACACTTATACTTCTTGCCAGTGGTAGTCTCAGAACCAATAATTCTTGCTTGGGATTTTGGAAACGATTGATATTTGCTTTACATTTTTCAATGTAGTCCACATAATCCACTGTGCTTAGAAGCATGCCTCACTATATTCAATAATCTGCTGAGGTTGAGCCAGCTAAATTCTCTGGTTTGTCACCCTTATGCTGTGTTTGTAATTTAGTTTATTACTTTATTGCAATGGCATCATATTTTGTGAATAATAAGCCTGAGAAAATATCTTTTCTAAAATATGAGGGAATAAATCTGAGTTCAATTTTTCAAGCTTTTTTTAAGCACTATATTTTCCTAATGTTGTAGACATACAGTTAAATAGATATTCAATTTAATCATATTTTAATCCATAAATGAGTTTCCTAAAAGTGGAACATAATTTTTTTATTTAATTCTGATAGTTACACTTTTGAGTTTTTCTGCTAATTCAATTGCCTTTCTAATGAAGAAGCTAACAGAATTGTAAAGTTAAGCATTCTGTTCATTTGCAATAGTAGAAATTCCTGTCTGCTCTTTATTTATTGTGTACAATTTGTTCAATTGATGACCTTGAATAAACAAAAGAAAGCTCATTGAAGAGAACAAGAGCTTCATTGTGGGCCACTTCATGGCTGAGTCATGCTGCTTAAGCTTTTGGCCTTTTGGGGTCAAGTGGGGTGACAGGCAGGAAAGTGCTTCACTGCCCACACGTATAGTGTCAAAGGAAGGCACAGTGTATTTGAAGAGTGGCAGTATTTTAAATGCAGACATGAGTGCAAGAGTGCTTAAGAGGCAACTTGTAAGTTCATGTGTATTTCTTGGAAGAGTAGTGATCCTTTGCTAAAACACAGTGTAACTCATGTGAAAGGGTATTAAAAAAAATCAGTTTAATAATGAATATTTCCCATCATTAATGTAAATTGAGATGTTTGAAAATTAGAAAATTTATAATACATTCAAGTGATCACAATTTTGTTTCAAATTTTGAAAACATGGATAATATCATTTATAGCTAGTGCACAATGTTTGTCTTTTCCCAGGAGGTGACACTGTTGAAGGAGGGAGGATCCTTAGGCTTCAGCATCATCGGAGGTTCCGATCATGCATGCACGCCGTTTGGAGGTGACCAGCCTGGTATCTTCATCTCGCATGTAAGATTTTGCTCTTCCTGCAATTACGCTTGTGTAATCTGTGAAGTAGTGAATATGATCAATGAATCTGTGAAACTTTGATGAATACTGAAATATTTAAAATTGCATGCATTTTTCAGATTGGTAGTTCATTTATTTAATTATTCAACTTTCAAAGACATTATTCATCACATTGTGTAGTGGTTAATGGATTTTATTAATCCTAAGACGCAGTCTACATCCATTATTTAATAATTATTTTTTAAATGTCTGAACATGTAAATTAATTATTGAAAAGAAAGTTTTTTAATTGCAATAGCTGTGAAAAAGTCAAAATGCTCAGTTCACAGGCATTTATTGTCAGGTATAAAGTGCTATTCTTTATGATTTTTAAATATTTCTTTATTATGAAAGTTTTCCTCATGATGTATACTTTTAATTCATATTTTTGGGTATTTTTTTTAATCCTCACTTAAATATTCTATTTAGAATGTTTGGGTAAAATAGTTCCTTTGTAAGTATAATTTTAATTTCGCAGTGTATGTTTTTTTCCTTGCGTACTACTATGGTGTATAGAGAAAGTTATATAATATTGAAGTGCAGAACCACAATTTTTTAACAGAAAATCTCGTTTTGTGGTTTCCTGACGACAAAAATCTGGATTGTTCTTGCTCTTATAATGTAGTAAATTACTTCTCCTAATATTTTTTTGTCAAAATATATGTTTTGTGGGTTCTTTATTCTAAAAAAAAATTTCACAGCAAAATGTTTGTCTGTCTGAGAGCAATGTTAACACGTAAACCATGGGGAGACTTTTTTTCTTTCTGTTTTTTGTTGTTTTATCATTTCCCCATAAACCAAGCCATATGCTAGGTAAATAATATTTCAGAATGAGATGATTATAAGGTCCTCCTTTTATAAATGACAATCCTATTGAAGAAAAAATGTCCTCTTACCTTTTAGGTGGTCCCTGGTGGACTGGCAGCTCGATCAGGTAAATTACGTGCCGGAGACAGGTTATTGAAGGTAAATGGTGAAGAAATTGTTGGATACACTCATGGAGAAGCAGTTCAGAGGTTACTACAACCTGGAGATGAAATTCAGCTTACTGTCCAGCATGACCCATTGCCTGAGGGTTACCAGGTGAGTGATATGTTTTTTCCTGGAACTATTTGATTCTTTCCTCTCTTAAATAGTTCACTTAGATTTATTTAAATAGCTTTTGTATTTCTGTAGTACGATACCTGTTTCACTGATCATTTGCATTTGTTTAGTTTCAAACTAGTTCATGGGAAAATTGGTATGAAATGTAGGAATTATAATTGCAGTTTGAAATGTTTACAAACGGATTTGTAAGCATGTAGCATTGCAATATAATATTGTAATGTAATATTGACTTTCCAGTAGTATTTGCTGAGAATAAATGCTTGTTTTAACGTTCAAATAGTGAGTAGAGAGCATAGGAATGGGCCACAGTTCTAAGTCTCACCAGTTTGTAGTGTTTCTGAAACAAATCTGTTTTGGTTCTCGCAAGCTGCTCGAGGTTGAATATCTGCCCATCACTGTAAGTAGATAATGACTTTGTTGCTGCTTCTTGTTGTTGCTCAGTTTCACATTTAGGTATTAGGAAGCATTATTTGCTCATCAATAATGTAGTTTTAGAAAGGTTTTCATGAATTGCTTTTTAGTCTAAATTTATTCCACGAGGATCTCTTGTCTTCCTCAATCTGCTGTATTGTATAGATGTTTTTCAAGAATTGGAGCTTAAAAGTCTAAAGTTTGTCTATTATTTTCTTAAGCTTTTCATTATTTATTTGTATTTTTTGTTATCATTATTGTAATAACTGTAGTTAACGTAGATTTTAAAAGAGTTTTTAAATACTGCATCATCACTTGAGTAATTCTGCACTAGGAAAGCAAATAGTTTAGAATAGTAATTGTGAATTTATTGAAAATTTGTACATCTCCAAATAATGAATTTTTTTGAAATTAGGGTCAATCGCGGCTCTTACGATATAGACAGTGCCATTGCTAGGCATGTGCAGACCGGGCATTTGCCTAAGACCCTGTAAGTCAAGGGGCTTGATGTGGAAAAAAATTAGTAAAAAAATTGAAAATAAAAAAAAGAACTCGAGAATATTTGTATCGTAATTTTATAAGTCATAAGAGTAGTCTGATATTTATACAATTTTTCAATTATCTTTACCTAAAATAGTTAATTATGGTCATTTCTTATAAGGTAGTACTCTGTGGAATGAATCAGATAAAGCTAACTTTAAAATAAGTTCTACTGAGTTTCATATTTATTATTTGATCTATTTTACAAGTGATTTTATTAAACACTAACTAAACGCAGCAAAAATGTTTAGCGTTTTATGCTCCTTGTGGAAATTTGATCACTAAATGCTTTTACTTAGAACTATTATTTAAAATATATTTCCATTTTTCTGGATTAAATTTATTTATTTATTTTAATTTATTGAAATAAAACAACTCATATAGTTTCCTGATACAACATTCACACTTAGAATTTTTTCGGGGGAAGGGGGCCATGCTTGAGTATTGCCCAAGGCCCAAAATTGTCTAGGTCTGGGACTGGATGCAGAAAAGCAAACTTTTGACCTTATGTTCTGTACCATGTGCAGCAAATGCATGGAAAACATACAGAATATGTGCCTTTGGTGCTAAAAATGTATACAAAGTGAACAATAATTTAAGACCTACCACAATTAAAAAATCAAGTGTGTATCAAACCTGATGGAGCTAAAGTGATACGGCTTGATGTCTCTCTCTAAATTTTCATTGGAAAACGACGAGCGTGCTATAGTGTGACACCTTAGGGTGTAGTGTCTGAACAGTACTTTTTTCATTTTTTATCTTTTGCTGTGCCCAAATACTGCAACATTTTGAGTTACCGCTAGACGGTCTTTAATATTACAATATATTTCTTTTTCTTGATGCAAGTTTCCAAATTAACTTTAAGACTATCAATTTTCAAAATTTCACTTTATTTAATTCATACTAAGATCATCTGTTCTACTTACATCAAGAAAAGTAATACAGACAATCATCAAGAAATATAAAAAAGAATATATTTCCTATTATTTGCATGTATCACATTAGCTCCAATTTTTTGCTAAATCATATTAACCCTAACTGGCCCTCTTTAGTTATAATTTTGAATATATATTTGCATTTACTTTGGGTGAAATTTTGATCACCATCATTAAAGAAGTTAGTGCATATTATTTGAATGTTTACTTGTGTTTTTTCATTAATACTATGTTAGAGATAATTTAATTGCTTTATTTTCTTCGTAATGATTTAGTATACAATTAATTTATTTGTGATTGTTGGTTACCATCTTTACAGGAGTTGCGTATTGTAAAAGCTGCTGATGAAAAATTGGGTATGCATATCAAGGGAGGCCTTCGAGGCCAAAGAGGAAATCCCCTGGATCGCAATGATGAGGGAGTTTTTATTTCCAAGATAAATTCAGGTGGAGCAGCACGCAGGGATGGTAGACTGAAAGTTGGTATGAGACTTCTTGAAGTCAGTGGCACTTCTCTCTTGGGTGCATCCCACCAAGAGGCTGTAAATGCATTGCGTTCTAGTGGGAATGACATACGTCTTGTGGTGTGTAAAGGTTAGTGTTTTTTGTGTTTTGGTTACTTGGTACAATTTGAAAGTTATGGGAGTTAATTGGTGTTTTTAATTGCTGTTTTTATTTTATAAAAATAATTTTTTCAAATAATTTTCAATGATAAATTTCCTTCAAACACGTATTAATTTTTGTGTTACTGTAATATTAAATGTATTGTTTTTAGGGTATGACAAAGCTGAAGTTGAAAGACTTCAGGATCAAGGTCAGCTTACTCATGAAACTAGGTCTGTATCCCAAAGTGTGTCAAGTCTTGATCGAGAAGATGAAGACTCGGCTACTATACAAAAGGTGAGAGAAATTTATGTGACTTTATTCAGGGAGTTAAAATGCAAGTTCACCTAACTGAGTTGTAAACAAATATTGCAGGAGCAAGAAATGCGTCAAGAGCTGGTGCAATGGGAACAAGAAGAGAGAGAACGGCGAGAACAGGAGTTGGCATTACAACAACAGCAACAGCAGCAACAATTAGTACCAGCTACGGCAAAATCTACAGGGGAAAAGGTACTATTTGTTGTTGTTGGTTTTTTTTGTAAAGTCATAGTAATTAGTTGTTATGAAGTCATAGTGAATATGACAAAAAATGGATATGAAAAGAAATTGAAGTCTGGTAATTGAAAAAGGAATTGTTTATTATGCCATTAAATTTTTCAATGTACAATGTAGACTGTTTACAATGAAACTCAAGGGACTTTCTTTTGTTTTGGAGAGTTTCTATTTAGTGGAGTGAGCTTGAGTAGCATCTTCATATTTGTCATTTTTTTCATTAGAAAGAAGTTTGTTATGAAGAGTTTACTCTATATTTTTATTTAAGACCGAAGTTCACAAATTTATTGTGATATTAATTTAAGAATTCTAAAATTACGGGAAGAGAAAAAAAAGCAAAAACTTAGAGAGAGTTCTCTGTCTGTTCTGTGTTGTCTGTTTAAGAATTGTTGTGGTTACAATACTTTTGATTTGAGGGGGAAGATATCATTATCACTAGTAAATAAGCAACTTACATATGATGGACTGAAAATGCTACTGTATTTTAATGTATTTCTGACAATGAAACATTTGTCTAACTTCATTAATGTTTATAAATGTTCTGTTGTGTCATGTTCACTTTTTAAGTACTGTTGCTATTGTTTGCTTGTTTCCTAAATCTTTTTGTTCATCAATATTCTCACTTGTGGAACATTTTATGTTCAGTTTTTTGTTGAAACTTGTTTTTCTCACATTTATTGGTGGATTTTGCTTCGTATTTACGTGATGCTTTATTAGCGCTAGAAATTGTTTCAAATATTTCCTGCACCTTTCACTATACTAATATATTCAGCAAAGAATTAGAGAAGGATATTTTAGTGTGTTAATTTAAATCAGCACCTGTTTGAAGACAGCCACAAATAATGAAACAAGGAGTCCCACTGATACTTCATGGAACAAAAAGCCAATGCTTGTCATTTACAATTTGTTTTCAAGAAATTGAAATGCCTTAGGAAGCAGTGGTATAATTTGCAATTCAGCAAAATATTAGAGTACAGCCCAGATATAAAATACACACTATGAAGACTAAGGAGAAGAGCCAACTCTGGTGTTGGAGGCATGATAGGGTAGTACAAAAAAACTAAGAAATGACTTTGCTCAACTGAACTTCAGTGACTTCATGTGATGAATGAAGGAACTTACCTCTGCTTTTTTTGGCCAATAACACATGAATACTCGTACGTGACCAAAGCCATCTTTACTGTAGTGTGTGTAAGTAGTGTAGAGGCATTCATTGATGACGCAATGCGTCTCTTCAACTCTTGTTGGGCGTTGAGCTCTTTCCATGGAGTAATCCTCCGTTACTATCTTTGTCAAGTATCATCATGTCACAGTCAGTCAGCGCCTTTCATCCCTTCGGCCAGGGGCTCAGCACTGTTAGATCTTGAGGTTCCTATCTGTTCACCCAACTGGGAACCTGCAAGTCTCGAATTTGCTTAACCTCTGTGACTTCACGGAGTGTAGTAAACAATCGGCAAATGAGGCTGGGGTAGCTTGGTGGCTATTGACTAAAAATGCCTTAAAAGGTTCTCCCTTTGACTGTGTGATGTTACTGCATGGCAGTTGTGCCAATTAGCTATCAATTTGTTTCATCTCTCTCTCTCCTC